TCTTTGTCTTTTCCTCTGCTTTAATAAAGTTTAAATCATCTCTTTACCAACATACAGCAAGAAAGCACTTTTTTGGTTTTGTTGTAGAAAAATTAAAGAGGTAACAGTCACCCAGACCACTTTAACTCCTTTAAGTGGTCTGAGTGCAGTGCCCCTATTAATTTAAACCTGTAATTGTAATTATTGCAGTTATTGAGAAACTGCATTAATTACCTTACAGGATTAACTCCATCTCTAGTGGCTGTTTTCCAGACAACCACAAGAGGCACTTCCTGGTGGTTTGGCGACTTTTGATCACCGAACTGATGCTGGATGTTCTCATGCTCTGCATGAGGACATGTAGTGTCAGCTAAAAGCCCATATGGGGTAGTCCTAATGTGATTGCGGTGACCTTTACATAGCCAAACAGCAGCACACGATCACCACGCATAATGCCAGATTTATGACTGCAGTGGCAGACCACTAGCCTTGACTGGATTTATCTGGACTGATAAGTCAAACATTCAAACTTCTCCATCTTTATTTGGAGTATAGTAGGTGAAATTGAATTGTGATTGGTTCAAGACGTAAGGGCTTCTGTGCCTTTAAGGCCGCACACAACCTTTCTTCAAAAACGTGATTCCAGATACTGAGTGAACAAAGAGTAGAATACTGGGCATATTCCCATCAAATTGAAACTAGGGATCGACCGATTATCGGTTTTACCGATATCATCGGCCGATATTTATTTTCTGCAATACCGGTATCGGCCGATAATACCTCCTAGTACCGCCGGGCTCATTACAAGCCCAGCGGTCCTGGCTGGGGCCCGCAGCAAGCTGTTACTTACCTTCCCAGCAGCTACCTGTGTAGTTTTTTTTTGTTTTTGTTTTTTTAAATGGTAAATGTACATAATATCGGCAAGCTATCGGCCTGAAAGTTCACAGATTATCGGTATCAACACTAAAAAATCAATATCAGTCGATCCCTAATTGAAACTCTGCAAATTAAGTTGACATTTGTTCACCTTTTGGAAAAGCCTGTAGTTATCCCGGCTCTAGATTGAAACCGGCTCTAGATTGAAAACTTTGAGCCGATTTGATCTTTTTTAGGCTCCTGCAAATGTGAGTGGTTTACCTCACAATTCACATTTCTACATAGTAATAACTTTTATTTCACAGTTTCTATACAGTATTGCACTATTTATATTTTTTTTGTTTTACATGTCATTGTTCATTACATACCCTACCAAGATATAAGGGGCAAGTGTACATAAGTAGTTATAGCGCTCCACTTCAGCCACTTACCTTAATCCGGCGCTGGTGACCTCTCCTCCCCCTGCCGACATTAGCTCCCGAGTGGAGCCGAATGCGCATGCCTGGCCAGAGGCACGCACATTCAAACCGCCCATAGAAAAGCATTAATCATTGCTTTCCTATGGACATCCAGCGTGAGTTCAATTCGATTTTCACAATGAGAATTGAGTAAGTGGCCTCTAGTGGCTGTCTAACCCTCAATGTAAACAAAACAGTTTCTCTGAAACTGTTTTCAGCTGCAGGGTTAAAACTAGGGGGACCTAGCACCCAGACCACTTCATTGAGCTGAAGTGGTCTGGGTGCTTATAGTGGTCCTTTAAAGTAACACAATAAAATCAGGAACAAAAAGGGTTCAAAAAGGTTCAAAATCCTTGCCTGGAAATTATAGACCTGTGAGCTTAACTTCTGTGGCTGGTAAAATATTTGAAAGGTTATTAAGGGACAATATTCAAGAATTCCTTGAGAAGAACATGGTTATCAGCAAAAATCAGCACGGTTTTATGAAGTACAGGTCATGTCAAACTAACTTGATTGCGTTCTACGAAGAAGTAAGTAGAAGTATAGATCAGGGTGTTGCCGTGGATGTGATCTATTTGGATTTTGCCAAGGCATTTGATACAGTTCCACACAATAGATTAGTGTTCAAACTCAAGGAAATCGGTCTAGATGAAAATGCTTGTTCTTGGGTAGAACATTGGCTTAAAAACAGAGTACAAAGAGTTGTCATTAATGGTAAATTTTCAAGCTGGACAGAGGTGGCAAGTGGTGTCCCTCAGGGGTCTGTTCTGGGACCCCTTCTATTTAACATGTTTATAAATGATCTTGAAGACAGCATTGAAAGTCATGTTTCAGTGTTTGCAGATGACACAAAACTTTGTAAAATAATACAATGTGAGCAAGATATTACTTTGCTGCAGAGGGATTTAGATAGACTGGGGGACTGGGCACTCAAATGGCAGATGAAATTTAATGTTGAAAAATGCAAAGTTATGCACTTCGGCGTAAAGAATACACAAGCAACGTATACCCTTAATGGAAGCGAATTAGGGATAACAACACACGAAAAGGACTTGGGAATTGTTATAGACAACAAACTATGCAACAATGTGCAATGTCAATCAGCAGTGGCCAAGGCCAGTAAGGTATTGTCATGCATGAAAAAGGGCATTCATTCTCGGGACAAGAATATCATTTTGCCTCTTTATAAATCACTGGTAAGACCCCATATGCTGTGCAATTTTGGGCACCTGTTCTAAAGAAGGATATTATGGCACTAGAAAAAGTGCAGAGGCGGGCTACAAAATTAATAAAAGGAATGGAACATATCGGCTATGAAGAAAGGATAACAAATTTAAACCTATTTAGTTTAGAAAAACGTCGCCTGAGAGGGGATATGATAACATTATACAAATATATTCGGGGCCAATACAAACCATTGTGTGGAAATCTATTCACAAACTGGACTTTACGTAGGACACGAAGCCATGTGTTTAGACTGGAAGAAAGAAGATTTCGTCTAAGGCAAAGGAAAGGTTTTTTACTGTAAGAACAATCAGGATGTGGAATTCTCTGCCTGAAGAAGTGGTTTTATCAGAGTCCATACAGATGTTCAAACAGCTACTAGATGCATACTTGCAAAAACAGAATATTCAAGGATATAATCTTTCAATGTAGGGTAATAACTGCTTGATCCAAGGATAAATCTGACTGCCATTCTGGGGTCAAGAAGGAATTTTTTTCCTATCTTGTTGCAAAATTGTGCTTCAAACTGGGTTTTTTTTGCTTTCTTTTGGATCAACAGCAAAAAACAAATGTGAGGCTGAACTTGATGGACGTAAGTCTCTTTTCAGCTATGTAACTATGTAACACATACATGTATTTTTGACCCTATAGTGTTATAAACACAACTTGCTTCCCTAGTAAAATCTCACTGTTGATCTTGTCTGCTGCTGGCTCTGCCCCTAATCTGCCTGCTTGGCTGACATCCTCAGAAGTGTTGATCTGAGCTAATCACAATGCTTTACCATACGAAAGCAGTGGATTGTCCGAGACTGTCAAGGAGGCATATTAGGGGAAGAGCCAGCGCAAGCCAAACACAGCCCTGGCCAATCAGCATCTCCTCATAGAAAGCACATCTAGTAGCCATCTGAGGAGTGGCCAGTGGAGGTAACCCTAGGATATAATTTAAATACTGCCTTTTCCTTGAAAAGAAAGTGTTTACTGCAAAAAAGCCTGAAGGTAAGAATTCTACTCACCAGAATAATAATAAGCTGTTGTTGCTCTGGTGACTATAGTGTCCTTTTACATTTTAACAAGGCAAGTGTAAATATGTATTACGCTAGCTTTTAATGAAAAACTGTAATGCTTTTCTTAAAGGACTGCTATAGGCACCCAGACCACTTCAGCTTAATGAAGTGGTCTGGGTACCAGGTCCAGATAGGATTAACACTTTTTTTCTCTATAGTGGTAAGAGTGCCTCCTGGCACCATAACCACATCAATTAGATGAAGTTGTTTTGGTGCTTGTAATATTTTTTTCTTTTAATTTTTTAGTATACTCACTATATTTGAATATACCCATAGTCTTGGTTGTGTGCCCTACACAAATGCCTATGTTTTTTCATTTCCTAGTGATGCTTGCAGAGCAGTCTCTATATGTTCTTAGTTCAACAGTGGTTTATTAAGACCGTGATAGTTCTACAATACATATTTCCATATTTAGTGATATTTACTTTTTTGAAGTGGCCAAGTTATAGGCACAGCTGCTTTTTTTCCAAACATCAGGTCTGATAAAGATCAGTTCATCCCTAAGCTATTGTGTGTGTGTGTGTGTGTGTATATATATGACTGCATCTTAGTGAGGCCTTCAGTGGGATGAGGTCAAGGTTTCTGATAGACCTCAGCATTTCTTACACTTTCTCAATTTGTTTTGCACCCGTGTCATTTTGTGATCTCGGATCATAACACTTTATCTCTGACACTAGAAGTATTCACAAACTTATATGCTCATGCTTGTGTGAATTGTAATATAAACATGCATTTTGGTGTTTGTGTTTATATACGGTAGTACAGATACATTGTGATTTGTGTGTAAGGCGGAATTCTGGCGCAGAGTTCTAAATTTAGAGCAACTGGCAAGGACAGTTCATTGGTTTCCACAGTAATTTTGTACATGTTTTAAACATTGTGTATTATACATATTTTTAATTTCATTGGTACCATTTATTGGTGATGTAGATGAGTTTTATTTACCCAATGCTGTACACAAAAAGATGTCCTGCAGCATGTATGTCAGTTTAGTCTTTCCCTAAATTAACAATGATCCATCCTGAAATATGAAATGTTAACTATGGCATCTGCATGAACTTAAAAACCTAGGTATGGGGGGGCGGAGCTTGACCGCCATGCGGAGAAGTCGCATGAAACTGGTGCTCCTGCAAAGAGGCAAACTTTAAGCCATCCGGACAGCAATTAGAACAAGCCAAACGGGCAACATACTTACCCACTCAACCGAACCCACGGCTGGACCAGTTTGGGAAAGCATGGAGTCTCTGGACGCACTACCCGAGGCAGGTCCGACTTGCGGCTTAGCAGTTGATGCGGGGCGGAGGACGCGACCGGTCATCCAGCCCCGAAGTCCTGCAGATGCAGACCTCTTTTCCCCTCCCCCCCCCCTTTGGACCGTTGGGGGTTACCACGGTCCACCATGGGACCCACACAAGCCTGTCGTCACACAAGCGGGCCCTGGTGGGGAGACGGGGGCGGGAGAATGCCACAACGCTCCACACACCCAAGATGGCGGCAACCCACACCACATTACCTCCTACCAACAAGCTGCCCCACACACCAGAGCAGCCGGCGGCTACCAAGCTCTATACAGCGGCGGAGCAGCGGAAGCCGAAGAGGTCAGTGGCAATCAACCAACGGCAACAAGCAGTGGAGGGGGCCCCATGACAACAGAGAGAAGCCTTACCCACCCCCTCCAGCACTAAGCGCCTACACACAGACCGCAGCGACAGCTAAAGGACAGAGAAGCACTGGCCTCGACCCAGGACCGCAAGACTCCACCACAAGAGAGGGAGGATGAGTGGCATGGACTGATCCAGGGACTAAAAACACTATAAGAACGCTGAAAGCTCCTTACCCAGGCGCAACCATTCTGCCACATTTCACTTCCCCTCTGCACTCACCACTGGGGGTTACCTGCTGTGAAGATCATCCTAACTAATGGTGTCGTGACTCAAATATAACAATCTGTCACTCCAGACTCAAACATCATTTATCAAGCTGATGTGTCATCTTAGGTTTAAACCTTTGTTGCCTAGGTTTGAGCATTATTGAGCTTATGTACCACTTGACTGCTTTATTCCCTTCTAAGCTTGCGTATTCAGCATTAGTATGTTTATAACATAGGCCTAGTACACTATCGCATATAAGCCTGATAATCAAAGCATATGTGTCTATAATCCTGCAAACAGATTAGTACAGAATCCTAATAGATGCCTGTTCGAATCTTGAAACGTTTACCTACCTAACCTATGACTCTCCTACATCGTTATAAAATATAAAATGGTGCATGTACTATCAGTAACCCCTATTGTAAAGTTTGATATTACTCAATAGGAATGCCGTTGGGGTACCTCATGCTCACCTATTGTAGTCACTTGCACTGCAAAAAAAAAAAAAAAAAACCTAGGTATGAAATTGAGCAAACCAAAATCTGCCTGGGGTTTTGCAGTCTGTGTCCAGTATTTATAAGGTACTCCTGTCAGAATTTGCAACTCCTCCATCTTAGTTCAGTATCTTACTTATCTAGTATCTTATCTAGTGGGTAGTGCATGTTGACAGAAGCCACACACAAGCTCTTCTCTCTGTGGTACTATTGGTTCTAGAGAATTTGCATGTGTGTATATGTATGAAGAAAGAAGGCTGCATTACTAGCTCAGAGTATGCACCTTAACCCCCCCTAATTAAAAAAAAAAATCAAAAAAAAAAATCTACAAAAACCCAAACTTTGTTCTGGGATATATAATCTCAACTAGACAAAACAAAACTGTCCACATCTGATACATTTTGCAGCTATAAGCAGTCTCTAAATGCAGTTAGCCTGCATTCACAGAATATGCACTTATCAACTTTTATCTCTGCAGATGCACAGAAATTAAAACAGCAGTGGTATTTTATCATATTATAAAAACACAAAACAGTTTATTCTTTAAAAAGGATTTAGGCAGTTTTGCTTTGCTCGGTATATCACCAGAGCGTTCTACCTGACTAATCTGCTCAATGTTTACCTCTGAGGGCCTTTGCTTGCTCCGTGATAAGCCTGAGAACTAACAGCAGGCTTTGACTACACACCACCTTTAATTACTTTGTCAAGCCTGCAACATTAAAGTAAAACTACTAGAGATAAATAGAAGTGTGATAATGTTGTATGTAGGACAAGCAATGGCAGAGGTTGTGTTGTGGTTAGTATTAGAATTGCAGATTCATTTAATTATAAACTACAATTTGTCTTCATTTGGGATGGCCGGGTGAGTGTGTGAATTGCCAAACTCCAAGCTGCAATGTAGCCAAATCACTAACCAAACACATTGCTCAAGCATTCTCATTTTGATTCATAATTCTGCCCGGGACGCCAAAAGAGCGGATTGGTGGAAAAAAAATTATGGGTTGATGGTTAGTGTACAGAATGGAAAAAAAAGTTTATGTATGTATACATATATATTTGTAGTAAAATGGGATGGCACTCAAGGATTTCTTACAAAAATAAGCTTTTATTTCACAAAACCGACATTTCAGATTACCATCTAATCCTTTATTAGGAAAAAAATTTATACCAGTGGTGCCACACATTTATATAGATATAATATATCCTGAAAATAAAGTGAACTTACCCCGCTAGGTCAGTCTTGTGAATGCCAAGGGTGATGCAGTCCAGTGAGGTGCATGTGTGCTGAAGATCCCACCCCTAAAATGGGACACCACAGGAGTTCCTCATGCTTAAGAAACACAAATGTTGAAACCATGATTAAATCCTCTGTGACAGAGCACTAAAACTATATTTGTGTACGGGATTATGGAAGGGGGCGTACACTTAAATAGATAGTTATTTTGATAAATGAGTCGGTTGAGGTGTGCCAAAACCGACGAGAGGTTAGGCCTGTAAAAAAGAGGGCCCACCCGGGATTAATGATATGAAAGGAGGGTGTGGTGGGAGGGGAATTTCCGGAATCGACGAAGACAGGTAAGCCTGGGTTTGCTGGGTTTATATAGGCCTAAATCCCTCCCACAACTACAGGCATACGCCTTCAATATACATATTGTGAAAAACATGCTTAAAATGAGTGGCAGCGTTTATATGTGGATATCTTCTAAAGGGAAACATAAATGCAAATGGAAAAAAAAAAACTGGTAAATTATGTAAAGGAACACTTCAAGCACCATAGGCTGTGATGCCAGGAGTGCTCTGGGGCCCTCCCAGTGGTGGGGGTGGTTTCACAACTTACCTAGGGTCTGCCGGGCACCAGTTGTTGACTGTTTGCTCTACTGAACGAAGCCCTGTTGTTCAGTGCCAGGTCTTTTGCTAGTAATGTCAGATGGGCTTTAGTGGTGCTTGGAGTGCTCCTTTACCTGCAGTTCTGTGTGTGTATATGTATGTGTGTGTGTATGTATATATGTATGTGTGTGTGTGTGTATGTATATATAATATGTGTGTAATTTTTTTTCCTCTTAATTGAAAATGCTGGTCCTTTTGAGAGAAAGATGAAATATATAGTATGCATGCACAATCAAGGTCACGACAGAATGCATGCACAATCAAGGTCATGGACAGAAATCTTATTGAAGCACACACAAATTTACTGACAATCTCCTAACTGATACAAACACACAAGCTTACTTATTTACAATCTCAGTGGCATACACACAAGCTCATGGACACACATGGAGAATAAAGCTCACTACAGACAACCTCACACATGCTCACTACAAACTCACTGGCATACACAGATACAAGCTCACTATAGACCACAAACAGTCAAGATCACTGACCGACAATCCCACTGACACGTATACACACACACACGCTCACTACATATAACACACAAGCTCCCTTATGGAGAATCTAAAAGCAGGAGTTGATGCTGCAGATATCCAGCAGGAACCAGGTTCTATTGTAAAACTATTCTAAAATAGTTTGACAAATTACAATGGGGAAACACCAGGGCACTCCTGGCATCATAGCCACAACAGTAACTATTATGGTGCTTGGAGTGTACCTCTAAACATTTTAAAAATAAAAGCAAATTTTAACTTTGCTAGTACTGGACTGTTGGGTGGCTGACCTGGTTTAGGTAGGTGCTAGGTCCCAGGTCCGGGCAACTGTCCCATGAGCTTTGTGGTTTCTGGTCTCTGTGGGTGCCAGGTGACTGGCCTGAGTGGGCACCCCAGCTGTCTGCTGATCTTGGTGGGCAGCTGGCTGGCCTCTGGGCGCTGCTCTTGGCTGGCAGACTGGTACCTGGGCTGGGCAGCTAACCCCTGGGCTTAGCAGGTAGTTGCTGTTGGCTTGGTAGGCCACTGGATGGTGGTTAGGCTTGAAAGCAGGCTTGGGCAGAGCAGGGAAATGGCAACAGGCTGGGCAGTGGGCACTTGACTGGGGCTGACCTTACATTGCACTTTGCAGGCTAGCAGGAGAGTATTGCGTTCTAGTTCCTCCACTCCTCTGTTCTGTTCTGGCCCTTTCTACCTTGAGGTTGTGCGGAGTTATGACAGTGATGTCATAATTCTGCCTACTCTCCTCTGATTGGCCTAAATGCTCTGAACCCATAACCCCACCGAGAAGGACAAGCATTGCTGTAAGAGTATGCAACCTCAAGGACTCTACAATGGTGGTAAGCAGGCTGCCATGGTATTCCAAATAGAAACCAAGAAAAGAGGAGCAAAGCAGTAAATTATAGCCTCACTGGACCCCAGGGAAAGATCAACTCCGCTCTCCTAAAGTTAGGGAGTCTAAAATTTCCATTTGTGTGTGAGAAAATGTATCTGTCAGTGTGTGTGCCTGTCTGTGTCTCTGTCCCTTTAGGTACCTGCCCCTCTTCCAATTAAACAAAAAGATGTTTTTACTCACCTTTTTCCCCATGCCAGGCCCGTTTTGCCATGGCTGGTCCTATCACCATAGCTGAAATAATCAGTCTTCGTGATCTCCGCTAAGAAAGGATATTGCGTATGCGCAGCAAAACAAGGCGCCAATCAGCATCTCCTCATAGAGATGCATTGAATCAATGCATCTCCATGGGAACATTCAACACCTCCATACAGAGCGTGGGTTTTGTAAGCAGAACCAAGGACACTCTAGTGGCCATCTGAGTGACTGTTACTAGGCAGCAACGTAAACATTGCCTTTTCTCTGAAAATGCAGTGTTTACATTGAAAGGTATGCAGGTAGAGGCTATATACCCCAGAACAACTACATTAAGCTGTATTGGTTCTGGTGTCTATAGTGTCCCTTAAGAATTTCATTTTTATAGTTTAAAATTAAACTTAAAATTAGTTTTGTAAAAACTGACTCCTAACTTTTTTAGCTGGCTCCTAGATTCTAAACACATCTGTCAAGCCCTGTGCTATGGCTGCTTATTTACTTCGTCTTACTGGGTTCCAATGGTTTCTTGATAAGCAGAGGGACTATATAGAGTGTGAGAGCTTATATGCGGAGTTCTGTTTTCCTGGCACTGCAGGACCCCTCTCCCTCCTACCTCACAATCCCCGGTTGCTGAAGGGTTGAAAACCCCTTCAGTCACTTACCAGAGGCATCGACATGTCCCACGTCTCTGCTTCTTCTGCCGCCGCTCCTCCTCTGCATTACGTCGACCGGTGGGCGAGACTGATCCCGCCGGCCGGCCGGGAAGACCTAATGTGCATGCGTGGCAATGCTGTGCATGCGCATTAGAGCTCCCCATAGGAAAGCATTGAAAATGCTTTTTAATGCTTTTCTATGGGGAATTGAGCGACGCTGGAGGTCCTCACACAGCGTGAAGAGACACGTGCTAGTGACACGGAAGTGTCTAGTAGACAGCCACTAGAGGTGAA